ACACCCCAATCCGAGAAGACAAATTTGGAGAGATCGTGATCCTATAAAAGTATCACACCCCAATTTGAGATAAAAGAAAAATTGAGGTGACATATGATGTCAGACTCCTATTCAAGATTTTGGCAACAAAGCCAAATGACAAAGTTTGAGGCCCAACAGGCCAGCCTCAAATTAAAGATCCACCGTAAATGAAACGGGGTTCAAAATAAGAAAACCACGGCGTGAGAAGCCGGGTTCAGATAAAAAGTCCACCGCTAATGAAGTGTGGCTCAAAGTAGAAAGCCACGGTATGCGAAGCCGGGCTCAAACAAGACTGGCAAAAAGTCTAGTCCAACAGTAAAGCCACGGTACTTTAAGCCGGGCTAAAATCAGAAAGGCAACGATACTGCCTTCAAAAGTGTAGACAAGGCAAAAGCCGAGTCAATTTAAAGAAAGCCATCGCAAATGAAGCGGGGCACAAAATAAAAGCCTCGGTATACGTATTCGGGCTTAAAATGGAGGAGGCGAACTCCTCCTACAAGAATCCAAGACTATGGCAAAAGAAGCCAAGTCCATCAAAAACAAGAGAAGTCATGGTATTCGAAGCCGGACTAATGGTTCAAGAAGGCACGAAAGATTTTCCCAAAATTAACATTGGCAGCAAGACAAATCCAAAAAGGGGGAAGTCGTAGTAAGAAAATTCGTGCTCCCTAAAGTACAATACACATTTGCAAAAGGTGAAATCCATGCTAATAGAGACCTCGGTATGCGAAACCGAGCCAAATCTAGAACCACGACACTTAACGCCAGGAAGTGCAAAGTCAGGTTAATTATTAAGGAGGCACAAAGTGCCATCCTAAAACTTAGGCGAATGCCTATATAAAAGACTGACTATAAGCCTAGTCAAAACTAAAAAACCTCAGCAAGAGAAGCCGAGCTCAAAGTCAACAAAAAAAAGGCAAACACTGCCTCACTACTCAGAGACTTCAAGAGAAAAGAAGCCAATATAAAAAGCTAAGCCCAGAAGAGGTAGTCACACTAGACCCAAGGCAGGATCATAGCACCTCGGTAGGGTCGACTTATCAATCAAACTTAGGCACCCCAACAGTCCGAGCTTCCGAACTGCCGGGCTGGGGGGAAACTGTTATGGAATATTTCCATATCCTAACCACCTACCCAAGGATCCCTTAAAGGATAATTCTCCAATTATCCTAACAATATAAAACAGTAAGGCAGCTAAGGATAGAGGCTCTATCCCAACAGAAAGGAAGTTAAATCCTACTACAACTGGGAGATCTACACAAGCCCAAGAGGTAACCCTTATAAATAAGAGGTTAAAGACCCCAGGTAGATACTCAGAACTCATTTACTACTTCTGCCCACACTGTGCACACACCCACCCCTTGGCTATAAGCCTATTGCTTGTGCGCAGTGATTGGGACATCGGCTATAAGCCTAGTATACACTTGATATACATTATCTCTGAGCGCATACCCTATGGTATAGCAATACGGTCTATCCAGGACTGAACACTATTGAATCACACTCAATTGTGTGTGATCTAATCCAATATTTCTTGAACAGATAATATCATTTTTAATTAAATTAATATTAAGAATTTATGATTTAGGGTTTAGTATAGAGACGAACTTAAAAATTGAGTGTGAGAAAAAGTATGGAGGAGAGAAAAATTAAGGGATAAAAAAGAAAACCCTCGTTTTTAGTGATCAAGTCGGAAAAGAAACGTGGGGCTGCCAAATTTGATCAAGCCGTGATTAAAATAAAATAAAAAAGTAAATATTCTTTTAGTCCTTAGTAAATTTCTCGATATCTGTTTTAGTCTCTAGTAAATAAAAAAGTTATTCATGATCACTAACAAATTCAAAATGAACCTATTTAGTTGAAATCGTGTTCCCTTACAAATTCAAAAAGATCCACATTAATCCAGTATTAAAATGGATCAATTTTGAATTTCTTATATACCACAAATAACCTTTTTATTTACTAGGACTAAACCAGACATCATAAAATTTGGTGAGAAAAATAAAAAAAATAAAATCAAAACCCTCCTCCGTGAGCATGACCTTCAAATTTCAATCACCAAATGGTCCGAGATTTGTCACACTTAAATGAATCGCACTCTCATCTCACGCTTCATGCTCCATAAGATTCAAACTTTAATAAGCTTTTCATCAAACAGAAGAAAATAAACGGCTGTGATCCACCGCAGGGTCCCGCATCAATAGTCACGAGAAGAATCACATGAATTGAAAGAACCCTAACGCAAGCAAGCTGGCGGGGCACGTGTCGAGTAGCAGAAGCCGCTCCATCGGATCAGAGCGTCTCCTCGAACCGTGACCCACACCGAAAGGGCTATTGGATCATCGTATCAAACTCGTTTCGAGAATAAAGATATCGGAAGCGGGACCCACCCCCGCAACCAAGAGCAACGCAAGTACGCCACTTGTTCGTAGTGCAGGATGAGACATAGGAGAAATTTTTTTTGTTAAAAGGGAAAAATATTTTAGACTTAAAAAAGTTATAAAAACAAATGGGATAGGATATTGTGACATCTAAGTTATGTTACACCCATGTGACACCCAGTCAATTTCACCGTTAGATCGCTTATGTTGATCCAACGATTATATTTATTTCCATCTTTGTATGGTCATGATTTTTTAAATTTAATATTTTATATTTATTTCTACCTTTGTATGGTTATGATTTCTCATATTTAATGCTTTCACTTTAAATTTGGGAAATCATGACCATACAAAGATGGAAATAAATATAACCGTTGGATCAACATAAGCGATCTAACGGTAAGATTGACTGGGTGTCACATGAATGTAACATAACTTGGGTGTCACAATATCCTATCCTAAAACAAATATAGGAAAGAGAGAATTTCTTTTCTTTTTGATAAAAATAAGTACTGAATTCCATACTGCCGCATCATTAAAAAAATTTCCGAGACATAGAGAGATAGATACATGTAACTGCCTCGGTTTCAGTTAATACGACAAAAACCCAAACTCTTCCTAATCCCTTAATTAATTTTAAAAAGTAGTTGGTTCTTTGAAAATTGAAAGTAGGCAGATATAACTTAATTTTCTTTGGGCGATAACATTTTCACTTATATTATAATATATGTATCAAATTCGAAAACGAAGCACCCTTTCAGACTCTGACAAAAAACATGCCGTCACGCCTACTACTGGACAAAACACGTGTCATGGTCAGTGGTACTTTGGGAATTTGGTTGAAGCGAGGAGGGTAGTTTGGAGAATTGGCGCGGAGGGTGTGTTTGGCAAAAGCGTGGAGACGTAAACGTTTGTCGCCACGTGCCTTGGCGTCGGCCACACGCAGGGAAACTCTTTTGTCTCCTTCTTTCAATCTTTTCATATTGATCGAAATTTTTTCCAGTGTTATGCATGTACTGAATTGTCCGTGTATCTTTAACTCATAATATAACATCTATTTCATTTTTTTAATTCATTAATAAATAATTTATCTTAAAATCAGATAAAAGAGTTATTTAATAAAAAAATAAAATATATATCACATTATAAACAAAAATATATATAAAAAATTGAGTACATTCGTAGCATACCGAAGATATTCTCCGTATTGATCTAAGATTGTAGCTTCTTTTTCTTTCTTTAAATCAAGATTTTTCGTTAGGTACGGCTATTGCCAGACCCTGTTTTTGACTACATCCAGATCTAACGTCTCTTCAGAAAATGTACTTTTTGCCTTTTGGCGTAGGAAACTGAAGGCCTCAATTCGTTACAACAAAATTATTATCCCCGTGAAAAAGTTTAGTACATTTTGCGTAGGAGTAATGGATAATTTGATCTGCTACTTCGTCAAGTTTCATAAATGAATTCAATTTTTTTTTTTTTTTGCTGTAAATTATTATGCCTGTAATAAATGCATACTCGAATAACAAATTTGAGTCCTCAATTTTTTTAAGAGTAGATAACTTTTCTTTAATTTCTTAAATTAACATGGTACATAGTAAGATATTTGTAAATTCCTAAGGGTTTTATAAGAGTTATGTTATAGGAAAAGTGATTGTGTAATGTTATAGAGATTCGTTTTGCGTGCCGTAATTTTTCTTTTTTTTTTTTCTTCAAAAAATGTGGGCCCCACAAAATGTTGTGTGTGTAGGAAAGTTTGTTGTGTCATGTTAAATGACAAATACAAACCCTAATTAGTAATATAATAGTAATGAAGGTTAATACAACTCGTTATGTAATTTCACTTTAAGCTAAAATATTACAGGTAAAATAATATTATATCAATTAAACTAACTTTAGTATTTTTTAAATAAAAAAATCAAATGTCTATATTTTTATACTTAGTGTACTTTTTCCAAAAATATATTTTATTAATAAATTAATATTTTCTTATTTAGATTTTTTAATTTATACTTTTTATATAAACCATGTGTTTAAAAATAATCGTTGAAAGGTGTTATCCAATTAAAAATTCGAGCTTTATTCTTTTACTAGTAATATAGAATGTGAATTTTTTTTGAAAGTACAACTGGCAAATGTATGAGTCGATATTAGGTACATATTTAAAGAATTTAACGTTATATATATATATATAAATGATTAAGTGACGTGTGAAAAATATATAATTACATATTTAAATCAAAATTAAGTTAAATAATTAACGACTTATTTTGGTTGGATCAAAGATAAATTAATTGAAATATACATAAATTATTTTGTTCTTGCCATAAACGTTGAATTTTTTTATATATTTTTTTTTATCAGGACATATTGTAAACGAGGCCAAAACGGATTGGTCAATACGCAATAGCTGAATAATAGCCATCGATACACAAAGAGAAAAAGACAAAATAAGAAAGAGAAAATTCGACATTGAAAGAAATTTTTATGAAAAAAAAAAAAAAGGAATGGAAAGTAAATACGAAAAATGAGTGGGACCCATATAAACAGTTTAATTCGGCCGCCCGCTTTGTCGTCTCTCTCGTCTCCGTCCATTCCCGTCGTTCGTTTGCGTTTGACTCTCATCTCTTCTCTCTCTCTCTCTCTCTCTCTCTGTTTTGCACCTTCTTATCCTTCTCACACCTCACACACTCTGAAATCTGTGATCTCTCTGAGCTCCCTCTGTTCCCTTTTGTTTCATATATGAGAGTACCTTTCTTCTTCTTCTTCTTCCCCATAACCTTCAACTAGGAATCAATCAAAAGAGTTGCCACTGACACCAACCTAAGAGAGGCATACACACGTATATACGTACGTACATGTACGTATATATACACCCTTTTCCAACCCTCTTGTGATTGTTATTATGAGGCGGCACAGGAGAGCAGTTACCATGAGGATCACTGTTGCTGTTTCTTAGGCCTTTTTTTTTTTTTTTTGTGGGTTCCCCCTTTTAGTATTTGCTATACAGATAGAGAGACACGACGAGACATGGCTGGCAGTAATGAAGTCAACCTCAATGAATCTAGGGTAATAACGTCTCTCATGGATTCATACTTCATTAATCATAATCTTTTTATTTTTTATTTTTGGAAGCTCACATTATGGTTTGGTTTTGTTGCTTGCTTTCTTGTTGATGTTGGGTTGTGAATAAAGTTCTAACCTTTAACTTCCAAGTGCAAGGACTGCATCTTCTTTGGGGAACATATCTGAGTTAATGGGATGGATTGGTTTTTGGTTCTTCTCTTCTCACTGGGTTTTAGTTAATAATGGAGAGAAAATACACCAATAGGATCATATAGCTTTTTTGGGGTTGGTTTAAATTTTTAAATTTTAATTTTTTTTTTCCCTTGTACTTTCTATTTCTTCCTTGTAGGCCTTGGGTTTCTTGTTCTGGTAAGTTGGAAATTCTCGTCTTTTTCTGAAGATTTGTGTGGTTCATATTTAGGCGCATACCCCTTTATTTTCCTTCTTCTGCACTGGTTTTTCTCAATCCTGTTTCGAATAATTCCCTGCTTTTGCGAGTGATTTGATTCCCCAAAGTATGAAAAGATGCATCTCTGCTTTGTTTCACAGGAACACGATCAATTCACAGTTTGTTTTAAGAACTAGTACAAAGTGATGTTGGATAAACGTTCTAATATCCTTCAATGTTTTGGTTCATTTGTTTTTGCAGAGTGTTGTTCCGCTCAATACATGGGTGCTTATCTCCAATTTCAAGCTGGCTTACAATCTTCTTAGACGTGCGGATGGAACATTCAATCGAGAGTTAGCAGAGTTTCTTGATCGTAAGGTCCCAGCCAATACAATTCCTGTTGATGGGGTCTTCTCTTTCGATCATGTGGATACAAACACTGGCCTCTTCAATCGGGTATACCTACCAGCTTCTGAAACCGAGGCTCGTATCAAACACCTGGATAGGCCTTTGAGTACCACGGAGATTGTCCCTGTCATAATATTCTTCCATGGTGGAAGTTTCTGTCATTCCTCTGCTAATAGTGCTATCTATGACACCTTATGCCGCCGCTTTGTGAGCATTTGTAAGGCTGCTGTAGTCTCAGTGAATTACCGGCGATCACCGGAGCATCGGTATCCGTGTGCCTATGATGAGGGCTGGGCTGCACTTAGGTGGGTGAAGTCAAGAACATGGCTTCAGAGTGGAAAGGAATCAAAGGTTTACGTGTACATGGCTGGGGATAGTTCTGGTGGAAATATTGTTCATCATGTGGCAGTGAGGGCCGCAGAGGCAGGAATTGAGGTATTGGGAAATATTCTTCTTCATCCATTGTTTGGTGGGGAGAAGAGAACAGAATCAGAGATGAGACTTGATGGGAAGTACTTTGTGAGATTGCAAGACCGTGATTGGTATTGGAGAGCTTTTCTTCCTGAAGGAGAGGATAGAGACCATCCTGCTTGTAACCCATTTGGCCCGAGGGGTAAAAGCCTTGTAGGACTCAAGTTCCCTAAAAGTCTTGTTTGTGTGGCTGGTTTGGATCTTCTCCAAGATTGGCAATTGGCATATGCGGAAGGTCTTGAGAATTCTGGCCAAGAGGTCAAACTTCTTTACCTTAAGGAGGCTACTATTGGTTTCTACTTCTTGCCAAATAATGATCATTTCTATTGCCTCATGGAGGAGATTAAGAACTTTGTCAATTGTAACTGTTAATATACTTCGACCACTACTTAACTTTACCTACGGAGGCCATACATAGCAAAAGCTTGACATTTCACTTGGGTTCTCTTTTTTGCTATTTTTTGTATCGTTCTTTTCTTTTCTTTTTTGTTCGTTTCCCTACTTTGTAGTAATGGTGTGTAATTATAAGATTGTGTAGCATTACATCTTAGTGCCGTAACATCTGTGGTGGTCAATTTGAGAGTTCTGTCGCCTGGGGACTACTGCATCCTGTTCACTCTGCTGATGTCTTTTGAAAGGTAGCACCAGTTTCAGCAATCTGATGTACCAGAACTCAGTTCATTTGTGGGGTTTGGCTCAAACCACCGTATACAAAGCTTTACCCCATTTAACACTTTTTGACCTCAATAGGAGGATTGGAGATAGAAGATAAGGATTGGTTGATCTATCACTTTGATTAAGTGAATGCATTCCTCTTGTAGCACTAATTATTGAATGTGAACCGGAGAAGATCCCAACCTGTTATGAATCTGTATGTTATATAATACCTATGTTCTCGAGTTATATAATTGTCTTGGGTGTTTGTTTTTTTTGCATTTTAGTTGGATTCTCCTCCTGGCAGAAGCCAACGTTGTACTTGTCTCTGTTGCATCCTGCTATGTTTCCAATTAAGCAGTTTCAATTTCTCATGTCACAAATTGTGTGGCTTGTATTGAGCTCTTCGTGATATGTTACATTCATTGAGATGCTTGCACAAAAACTTGAGTAAATAAATAAGACCACAAATAAATAAATAAGTTTACCCTTTTGTATCTTCTAAAGGGCAATTCTTCTCATTTTTGCCGTTGGGACCTTCCAAAATATAAAGTAAGCTAGTGCACTAGTGGTAGGAAAAGGTGAAGCATTTGAATTATTCTCTGCTTTTCCCCGTTTGCACTATGGTTATGTTCGAAAAATAAGATTGGCCTGAAAAAGTTGATACCGAAATGTCAAGGGGGAAAAGAGAGATTTGCGTTTGGTTAATGATTTGTTATGTTACAAAGGAAGAATGAAAGGTGTAATGGAACCCTGGGGGAGGAGCGAGGACTATTCTTAATCCACCTAGCATGAAGCCAAACCCCATCTACCAAAAGGACATAAAAAGCTTTCACGCGAAGAATGATTGGAAGAGGAGTTTGAATCATAAATTTCGCCATCTTTCAACATCAGTCTGATTAATTCTTGTCATCTCCTAATTGCCTATTCCATGACATGTCTGTTTGGAGCTTGGGAAAACAGCAAAAACGGGAATTTGGCATTGTTTTCATGGGGGGAATCCATTTCTCTAGTGGTTGGGATTTTTGGATGTATTCTTTAGGGACCACTTTTTGGAACCCACGAACCCCAAAAGTCCAATTAAAAAATTAAACCTGTTGTTGGGATTGCTTTTAAACAATGGTCACTAAGTGGTAGGAACAGCTAAGCTTGGACAAGGACATGGAACCCTGTCTTTTATTGACTTTCTTGCTACATATATTTAAAACTTGGGTTTAGTGTTGATTTTGGTTTGAAGCTTGGCTTTCACCTTTCTTGTGCAGATTACCCTGCTTTATTTCATGTCATTTTGTGAACTGTCCTTAGTAAATTAGCTGTTTATGTCTTGAAAAATATTCCCTAATGCGACAGCGGGAGGAGTCATTGTCAACAAAATGGACTTTCTTTATTGGGGATTATGGACAAAAAACTTCATTTGTTTGGTCGCTACATTGCTTTTTAATACAATATATAAAAAGCTATTCATTGCTTGTGGTTTGCGCGTTCACAACATTATGATGATTCTTCTATTCAGGTGTGTCATTAGTGCCTAATTTTATTTAATTATACTAAAAATCATAGTTATTCAATCTTAGTTACTTTCAACTTTGCCAGAAACTGCTTGAGAGAGTAATGATTCTAAATCTTCGGTTATCAGAAGTCAAAAGTAATTTTCTATTTCCTAGATGAGACATGGACCTCCTAAGACCATTGCTGCTAGCCATGTGATCCACGACTCTTTTCAGAAAATGCTATATAGCTAGGCTTATCTTTTTTGAACAGCTTAAACCCTGTATGATCTCCTTATTACATTTTCAAAGTGTGACCTTGAAAATGTGACACACGCTTCCTAAAGATAAAATTAATGAGCTTTGAACGAGATTGATAAAACAAAATATTCACAATACGATATTCTTTATAGGCTTTGAATAATTGTAGGTAAATTGGACCACACCAAACCACCTGGCAGGAAGCAATCCTATGATTATTAGTCCATAAGCCTTAGGGTGGTTTCACTGTCTTGTCGAGTCTTGTTTTTCGTAATAAATTTTGGGTTTATATTTTTTCATGTTATTGAAGATGAAATATCTCGTGTTATAAATTTAAGGTGGGATGAGATCCATACTCATTAAAAAAAACTATAACAGGAGAATCGAATAATGAGAAACATGAATATTTTCTCCTATAATATAATAGAATAATTTCCATAAACTATATTAAGGTTGTAAAATTAGTGGCATCTCATAATTTGGGTCTGTTATGTATGCAAAATTGAATATGAATGAAATGTTATCTCACTAATGATAATGACTATTGAGAAAAAAGAAAGAAAGGAGCCAACAAAATTCAACACCTACCTATTCCCTTTATTTCTTCCCCTACCACAATACAAGCAGTTTTCTAATATGATCAACAAAGATAATAAAAAAAGGGAGATAGGGAATGGAAAATGAATGATGATTTTCAATTCCATGCCTCAATTTATAGATCTATAAATCATTATTGTTTTCCAATAGAGGTGACTCAGGTGAGAGTTGAAAATGACAGTTTAATATTCCATGGAATGAGATTTATTTATTCATATAATATACTCTTCTTCATTTTATTATAATGAGAATTTCATTAAATTTATCTTTTATTAATTTTTTTATTTTTAACCTACCTTTATGCATATATTAAATAATTTTAAATAATTGTGTGAAATTTTAGCTAATTATAGTTACGTAACTATGTGAAAAAAATATAATAAATTTGTGAAATGTATTTATTATCTAACGTATCATAAATAAAATATCATAAAAAAATATGAATATTTTATCCAAAGCACTATGCATGTTAATTTTTTCACAGATAAAACAATGTTTGCTCTCATTTAGCTATGATATTTATTATAAGGATATTAAGAAATTGAGTTCGATTATTATACATGATAAAAGTTAGTCCTTTTTTTTTCATGAAGGTATCTATGTTTAAATAAACCAAATCTGATTTAATTCCATATTAATTTTATGCACCAAATAATTGAATGAATTGAAAAGTCATTTCATTTTAAAATGTATCAAAATATAAATTGGAAATGCTCATTTATATTCCATATTCATATCATACAGAGTGATTATTAACGGCATAAGTTTTTTAAAATACCAGTAGATGGAACGTGAGAAAATACAAAAAGTGACTAAGGGCTTAGTAAATGCAGTTTATGCATAAGAGGAACACAGGCATTAGAATGAGTTTGGATGAGGAAAAAAAACTATAGAAGAGTGTCCTAGATGGAACGTGAGAAAATACAAAAAGATACAAAGGGCTTAGAAAATGCTGTTTACATACGTGGTCGTGGAAAACTACCATTAGAATGACAAATAAGATGAGGAAAAAAAACTATATAAGAGTGTCGTAAGAAAAACATGAGAAGATACAAACATGGAAAACGCTACAATCACACTCATCTATACGCTTGAGTTTGCTGGTTGAAAAGTTTTAAATAGTAGTATGAACTATGAACACATAAAAGCTCTGCCTTTTCAAAATTTAAAAACTTTAATCTTTTATGCAAAAAAAAAAACAAAAAACTTTAATCTTATAATAGTAACAGAGAAGTTAATCAGTAAACATATTTATTAATTAATCATACAATTCATCTTCAAATAAAAATATACAATTACTTGAAATTGTTGAATATGATTATTTATAAAACAAAGACCTGCCCGACCAACTATACTATTTAAAAAAAAAAAAATGCTCTGCATACTCTTTCAAGTTTTTGTGGGAATCAATTTGTTTTCGTGTGAAAGGAGAGACATATTATTCATTATGTGGTTATAATTTCTGCAATGACTACAAAAATTATAACTTTGCAGTAGATACAGATTTTTGATGAGACCCATAATTGTTAAATAAAATAAATAAATAAAGGGTTTTCGTTTTATCCTTTAACATAACACAATAAACTTTTCTACACTCACAACATTTTGTGGGGCCACACTTTTTAAAACAAAAAAATAAATAAAAAATTAAGGCACGCAAAACGAATCTCTATAACATTACACAATCACTTTTCCTACAACATAACTCTTATAAAACCTATAAATAAATGCGCAAATTCTTTCATGTCTATGCGGGAATCAATTTGTCTTCTCCTGTACAGACATATTGCCCATTATTTATATAACTTATAGTTGTGTTGGAAGGTTTTTCTCTCGATAAATCCACTTGACATCACATAAAATCTTCACGTTCATAAGCAAGTAATTTGTCAACAATAAGAAAATTAAAATAAAAGACAGGTTGTATATTTAAATGAAAATACTACTCTCAATTTATATAAGATAATTAGTTTATATTATCTTACTTCAAAAATCTCATCTATTTTTTTTTTAATCCTTTAATGATGGCTCCACATAACTTCTCTTCGTAGCATAAGAGAAGTATAACATTTTCCATATTTAAAAGAACAAGGAGAGAATCAAAATCAAAATCAAAAATCAAATATCAACTACCGCAAAAGACAGAATTTATAACAAATAGGTTGTTATTAATGATCTGATTTGGGGTCAAAATCAAGTAACAAGACACGTCTTCTATGGGTAAATGAGGTTGGGACCTACTTACGTTGTCGGGTGTATCTAGCAAACAAACTTCCAAAATCTCTCTCTCTCTCTCTCATTCTGCTGGTACCGAAATCAAAAGGTACATAATCCATATGCACAAGGAATTTTCTTTTATTAGAAAGAAGGAAAAAGAAATTGAACCAACCACGGATTGCCAAAGTTGCTGAAGTTCCTCAAAACAAAGAAAAAAGAAGAGAGAGACCTTTTTCTTTTTCTTCAGTACAGTTTATATGATATTTTTACGCCAAAATATTTATATTATATTTAAACTTTTTTTATTTAAGAAAGAATAAATAAATATATATTTTGCTTTTTTTTTTAAATAATATTAGAATAATGCAATAAAAATAAAATATAAGAAAAAATATTTATCCTTTTAAAAGATATAATTTCGTGTTATTTTAAATAAAATGATCGTGTCTTGGTATATATTTATTAACCTTTTTCATTCTTCCTCCTTTATAATACTCTCTTTTTTTCTCCTCCTAATTTCATGGGAGAAAGAATATAAAAAGTTAGCATTGCTAGAAGAGGGTTCATTTCATTTAAAATGATATAAAATTGTATCACTTAAAATGAAAAATATTTTTTCCTTTTAAATTTTTGACTAATAATTAATCAAAAACTTTCTATTGAACCAAAAAAAAAAGTAGTTTGGAGTTTTCTTCTTTAATTGATAAAAAAATGCACAATCAACATGAGAAAATATTTAATTTTTATGAAAAAGAAAATAATCTATCAACAAACATCTTGTTGTGACCGGGGAAAAGAAACAACATTTTCCTGGAAAATCTGTTTCAGAGGCAGATATACTCCAACAAATTCAACTAGGGAGGTGACACTAACCAAAATACTGTAGGTTGTGCGGAAGGGGTTCTGAAGTTTTGAGTTTGTGATGTTGAGTAGTAATTGGGAGTGAGTGTTCTTGAAGAGGCTACACATTGAAGATTTTGCACTTGAAAATGAGATCAATTTTTATTTTTTGGGTAATAAATGATGGAAAACATAGCTCCCGTGTAATAGCAGAAATTTTCTTCTCCTGCAACGAATTAACACTATACTACGAGTAATATATAGTTATAATTTTAAAAGTTATTTTTTCTCTCCTCAAAGACTGTCGATTGACATGGCAGAGAGAGAGAAAAAAATCAATTTTAATAATACAACTATGTACTACCCATAATATACCGTGTTCGTTGCAGGAGAAGTCTCTTTTACTACCACATGAGAAGTTGGGACCCATAAATGATATCCTTTTACTATTCTGGTTCTTAACCTTGCTTTGAGGTTTTGGGAAGGGTTTATGAATGTTTTTGGTGGTTTTTCTAATATTCTTAATCATAGCGGGGTTTAATACAAAAGCCTCTTCACTTTAATGGATTATTGAAGTTGGCGAGCATTTGAAATTGGTAACAAATTTCTTTGGATAAACAGATTGGATTATACATGACTTCTGTTTTATCTGGGCTTATAATGGTTTACGGAGGAAGCTACTCAAAATATGCATTATTGTTTTAGGATCCTACCTTCAAAGAGCAAAGATCCTTGTGATAAAAAGTGTATAAAAAATTAGAGAAATTCACACCTGAATATCTGGGCAGCGATGAGGTGTAGTCCAATTAGAGAAGACTAAATGATAAACTCACAATATAGGATTTCACGTCATATCTTAATCCAAAACCTTAAGGTATTAAATTTATGGATTCTTTCATTTATATGTAATATGCTTAGCTCATTACCAACCAATATGAGATTTCATCACACTTGGATATCCAAATATATGGGGTCACTGTTCGAGATCTAATGCTCCGTTACAATATTTTTATTTGACTTTATCTATTTCATTTCCCTATTTTGGCTTGAATTTGAGACTTTAGTTAGTTTTTAATTTTAATAATTTCGTTCTGTTCATACAGCACTTAGGCGAGGTAGGGGGAAGGTTAACTGGAGGAAGATAAAAATAGCAATTATCTCAACTAATGAAACTCTGATTCAAATAAGCTAGCATGCCTAATTTCAAATGTTAAACGAAAATTCCCCTAAATTAGTGAAATACTGCGTTATTTGAAACATAAATCAAAACAGGCAAGGAAACAATAAAAATATCGTGATAATCACCACAGATGAAATATTGATTTGAACTAAGCTAGTATAATTTACAACAACATTTCAGCAAAAGACTCGAGAGAACTTTAATCACCAAACTTTCTCGCAGGCAAAAAATTATACCACGTCTCCTCCTTCATCGAATTAAGCAACCTCAGTTTCAACCTCAATCCATGCCCATTGCCCTGTAAATTCTCAGTAATCGTTTAAATCAAGGATGGTAATGGTAGCTTAGGGTTCGAAACAGAAAGAGCGATTAGAGGATGAGGAACATTGGCAAAGTACTCGAGGAGAGAGAAAAATAAAGGAAATTCGAAAGGTTTGCTTACTCTAAAAGCCGGCCCATTATGTTATAACATTACTCTCCAACTTATTTTTTTTTTTTACTTCTTATCATCTTTGTTATTATCTTAACTATATTGAGTTTTATAATTATGTACTCTTTTTTATAATTTTAATTAGAAATATAGATTATATAAGTTATATTATTAAACAACTTATATAAAGATTGATGTTTAAATTAATTTTGAATTTAAAAAATTATATAATTATCGAATAGTTTTTACCTTTATTTTTGTAACTTTTATTTTTTGTTACTTTTATTTTTTGTTTTAACTTAAAAGTAACTTTAAAGTTAAATAAAAAGGTCATGCCAAATATGTTGTAACTAAAGTGTTTGACCAAATAATGGTAGCTCAGTTAACGCATAGGAGTCGAGCAGGTGACGATGAGAGTATATGTTTGATCTTTTCTAGTACCATTTTTTAGAGAGTTTAAATCCTTAATTCTGCACCCGCCTTAAATAAAATTGTCATCTATGGAGAATACACGTGGTTTATAAAAAAAAAATTAATAAAAAATCCTTGGAGAAGATATTTTAATAATATCGCCTGTGATTTCAGTGAAATCAGTAATAAAATCAGGGAGACCCATGTTGTTTATGTTGTATATGGTGTTGGCGTAATAATAAGTTGTAATATGAACAACCAATTTGATTTTGTACATAAATAGCCACGTAAATTGACATGGAGGACGATTAATTTGTAAGCAGTGCATATATAATAAATTATGTGCCATTGCATCAGAAATTGATATTACCTTGGAGTGAATCTAGCCGTTGGCCCTGTAACCAGTTGCCCGCAGTATACCACGATTATTGTGTTGATGAAGTATATATAAAGCCGAATGCTTCTGGCCTGGGTATATCTAACGTTAGGTGCTTCCAAGATGCCTATATTAACTTTGGATCCCCATTAGAATCTATATAATATTCTTAAGTGGTTCTTGTTTGAACTTAATCATCACAAGTTGTGAACATTAAACTAATGGATAATTGATATATTATTACTTTAAATATATAATAATTATGTGTTATATACATTTATGTAACTAATCAACATTGAGTATATAGCAGTCTACAGGCTTATAATTTTTCTATATTCTCATCATTTATCCTTGTCTTTGGTGATTAACCATCTCATAATATCTCGATTCCTTGACTATGGTAGGCCTTACTTATAGTTATAAAAGAGCAGGTACCTCTGTTGCTTAAAGCTTAAGTGTCTAACAGAAATTATTATTTTCGTAAAAAACAGAATTATCGCATCAATTGTGCTAGATAGCTGCTTCTCTGACCATTTTTTTGTTCATTTATAGGGCCCAGATTTGGATTTGACTTATTAAGAAGAGTGGTGTTAATGAAATTAAAACACAAGTAATACTAATATAAGTGCTAGTGCATTCCATATTTTACCAAGGTCATTCTTGTTTCATTTGTCTCTAAACATTTATTTACATAGATTGAAATAACAAGAACTCCAATAATGATTTAGAAATAAAATAAGGGAAAAAGTACTCTTATGCTACATGTAACAAGTTTTTCTCCTACACATCTTTCGATAATGTGCCATCTTTTTTTTTCAAGTGACGGAACCCACAAATTTATCTCTATGACATGAAATAACTTATCTCCTTTAACATGAGATTAATTAAACCCATAAAATAAATAGAAGGTATATGATAAACAATTTTTGCTTTGCTTTTCTGCTAAGAGGAATATATTACATTAAAGTAATACAAATTACACTGCAATTTAGAACTTGCCCACTACACTCTTGCAAGTATCCCAGTTATCTTATCATACTATCAGAAAAATGAAATAATTCCAAAGGATATAAAAAATATAAATAAATACAAAAGCAAGTTAAACTATATGATTTTTATTTCAAAATTTGAATATTCCCTGTGAATTATTTTATATATATATATGAATTATTTTTAATTCATCCCCTCCATTGGTTACACTGTTGTGAAGGCCTGATTTTTTGCTTGCCAGCTTTAAGGGGACACGCCGTGTGAATGGGTGGCACCATACAATTATAATCCACACACAGCGTGCTACTCTCTGGAATCTCCGCCGTTGGATTTATCGCAATTCCGGTTAAGTAATTGTGTTGCAAATAAAGTATTTGTATACTCGCTGCCAATAACCGCTCCACGAAGCTACCCGGTACCTGACCCGTAAACCCGTTATTGTTCAGGTACAGGTTCTGCACGCTAGCTAGCATGGGCGATACTTCACCCGATAATCGGTTATAGCTGAGATCAACGGTTTGGATTGCGACCTCATTAACCGGTTGGACCGGACCGGTGAATTGGTTCCTTTCTAATTGCAGATCTGTTAGCGGGAACAAGAAAATGTGAACCGGAATGGGGCCCGTGAACTGGTTCAAGCTAAGGTCAAGGTAGTTCAGCTTGTTGAGCCGGTTTATAACCCGGTCCACCGGTCCACTCAGCCGGTTCCATGACAGAGAGAGGTATTGCAGTGAGGAAGGGAGAGAATCTGGAGCTAGCGAACCGGACAGAATGTTGTGTTTGAGTTCGAGCCGGGTTAGGGCTTTCGACCACGCGAACGAGGGAACCGAACCGGAGAGACGGTTGTAGCCGAGGATCAGGTTGTTCAGCTCCGGCAAGGTTCCGATGGACGGAGGGATAGCTCCGGCGAGCTGGTTGAAGCTGAGATCGATGGTTCTGAGATTGCGGAGCTGACCCAGGCCGGCGGGGATCTCGCCGGAGATGAAGTTGCGGCTGACGCCGAGGAACCGGAGGTTCTTCAATTGAGAGAGAGACTGAGGAAGAGGACCGTATATCCGACCGGGAACGACGGTGAATTCGGCGAGAGAAGAAAGCTTGCCAATGGCGATGTCTAGTTTTCCGGTAAGGCCGGGAGAAGCAGCCCTGGGGTCGCCGAGATTTAACGAAATGACTTTATCGGCGGCGCAGTAAACGCCGGCGAAGTTACAAGGGTCTGAAGTGAAGTCCCAAGAAGCAAAGAAATTAGAACCGGGAACATCGTGGAGTGCCTTACGAATTGATTGCAGAGCCAAGAAATCAATGGGGTTTAACATAGCTTTCACTTGCAGGGTTTGGAAGAAGCAAATGAAAAACAGAGAATAAGAAGCTATAGCCATTGGAAATATTCTTGGAGAAGAATGGAAGCTTTTGTTGATGGGTTTTTATAGTAATTTGAATATGAATGAAGCAATATTAATATATAGAAGGTTCTGGCTTTTTCTTTCCGTGAGTACCGTTTTCTCGTGTGAAGGTTTTAATGGCGTAACTGCAAACTATCAGCATCAAAATTAACTGTATATGTTTTAGGCTTGGAGGAGAAGCAATTCACTTTCCTGAATTAGTGTTGCTTTTGCATCACTCGCTTTGCCTTTTCATGATTTTGGCTTCTCTATCACACACACACTTTCTCTCTCTCTCTCTCTCTCTCTATATCTCTCTATATGCTTTGGATATCAACATGCATGGCTGGCAAATATTAATATTTATTTTAATTGAAATTCTTACTTAGTTGGAATGGGAACAGGTTCGGATCAAACGGTTGTCCGAGCCGACCTGGGCTCCGTACCGGGAACATGCAGAGTGGTATCAAATCAAAACGCAGTCCAAGTGTACGTTTTACTCGACAAAAACTACAGAGATTAATGTTAGATTGTTAGTGTTAGTCCAACGTAAAAACAAAACACATTAAACACTTAAACGCGTGACACGTTATATATGATATATATATATTTTTCTTGTTATGCGTGTGCATGTGACACGTTAGTTATTATAATGATTATTATTATTTTGGTTGTAAACGTTAGTTATTGTTTATTTATTAATTTTTTTTTAAACGTATGCGTTTTAAGAGAGGATTGTTGGGTCACGGTCTGAGAGTGACAGGTATATATAACTAAGCAGTTCATAGTCAAAAGTAAGAGGTGGACTTGTCTGAGATTCAGTTTCACCCACTTCAGTTGGATTCATGTTGAAGAGTAAGGCGAGTCAAGCTCATACTCACATGTTTCTTGTGTACTGCAATGGTAGCTGTCCTATTTCGCTCGCTCTATCACAAAAATCTCATCATAGAGTGGTAAGTGTGTACCTTACTCAAAGTAGGCGGTGATCATTGATCATAGTTCGAGACTTGCTAACCAATGACTTCCGTAACCACATGATTTCTGTTTTTATTGCGATCATCTTTTCTACTGGTGCTTTTACACCGTAAACAATGTCAATTATAATTTAAAAATTGCATTTAATGCAATTAGTTTTTTTTTTAAAGAATGGATCATCCGATAAAGGATTGTTCGAGTCCCGAAAAAATTTGATAGAGAAAGTTTGTCATTTATGTAATCTTGACTCGAATCGAATTGAATTGATAAATAATTAATAAATCAATGGATAATATTAAAAAAGAGAGTAAAGGATCACTTTCATTAGGTCCTGAATAATATCACTAATTTGAAGGTAATGTGATCACCTTTTTTTTTTGAAACAAGGGAAACGAACTTATACAACACAACAAATCCTAGGCTAGAAATGCCCCTTGAATCTCTACCTAACATAGTCACACATATCTCGGGAGTACGGATGTACATGGGTCGAACTGAACTGATTTCTTAAAAAATGGTTTAAATGGTTCAGTTCGAAAGTGGTTCGATTTAAAACTGGTTCGCTTCGGAAGTGGTTCAGTTCGGTAAGAAACGGATCGGTTCGAAAATGTTTCGGTTCAGAACCGGTTCGGGTCGACCTTCTTTTGAAAAGAAAAGAAAAAAATTTAAAAATAAAGTTATAAAAATCAATTTGGTTCATTTGAAAACGGTTCGGTTCAAAATGGTTCGATTCTTAAACTGATTCTAAAAACCGGTTCGGTTCTTGAACTGGTTCTAAAAACCGGTTCGGTTCATGAACTGGTTTTTTTATGAACTGATTTTTAAAACCCAGTTAATTTAAGGGGCGAGGCGGTTCGGTTCGGTCAATTTTTTGGTTATTTTGACACCCTACCTAGTCAGGAGGGTCTAGAAAAAGATGTGTGTGCCAATATGTGCCAATAGGAATATCCGCTGCCAATGTTAGTGAGCTTATCAGCAACCATATTGCCTTCCCCAAATGTATGCCCAACGTCTCCGCAGCATCTCCCTAATTTGATTTACCAAAGAAGCCAAAGGATGCTGATCCCCACAACCCTTCTCAATGAGGCATAAGGCTACCTTAGAATCACCTTCAATCCATAATTGATGAATTTCTACGTTCCAAGCCATCTCCATACCAAGAAGTAACCCCCAAAGCTCAGCTCTGATAGAAGAGCCAACGCCAAGGTTTCTACTAAAGCCAATCACCCAACTACCAAACGCGTCCCTTAACACCCCACCGCAGCTGGTTCGTCAGCCATTATCCTGGGACGATCCATCAATGTTTAGCTTACACCAACCATCCTTTGGAAACACCCAAGCGATAAGCCTCTCCTCTTTAGTAGGTGCAGGATAATATCACTAATTTGAATATCATGGGATTGATCCAAATCCACATCAGTCATCACCAATTAATATCCATTAGTCGTGTTACCTACACATCCTAACTTACATACCAATCAAGCACGTACTCCGACAACAACGTAGTTGTTGTCTACTAGACATATTTGTTGTATCAATTTTTGGCTATTTGGATGAAGTAGTGAATTTGTTTTGATTCTGAAATATGAATGCATAATTAATTCCGTAGAAAATACAGGAGCTGCAAATGAAGTGACAATTTACGTTAGGGTATTCATAGGTAGAAAGACATGTATTTATGATATTAGTGGATTAATTTGCTATAGTTTAATAAGGAATGTTTGCAATTTTACATGTAGGCGTATATATTGATTCTTCAAATATATGAATTAATTGATTGAATTCTTCATGGAATAATTTTAAGATATATAGCTAAACAAGTTTAACTATCATAGTTAGGGTGATTGAATGCATAACTATAATCTCGGCATCTTTTCTGCATATTTTCCTTGTTTCGTTGAATGTTTTTATTTATTGATTATTACTTTTTTTTTCTTCTTCTTCAAGAAATAGCCATGAGAAATATTTCACAGGTCAATAATTTGGCTTCATGGAAGATAAATGAGAGAGTAAAAACTATCATTGAAAGCATTGCATTTAGATATGTTCATTTAGTAAACAGCGTAACCTCTGATTTCTATTTCGCGTATGTAGTCGTCAAACATATTATAACAATGAATATATTCATTTGTTTTTAATCATATAAAGTTGCATTTTGGTTATGCGAAATATACATTCTAGGTTTACCCATAATGGGCAAGCCTGTAACTGGGTCTGATGTTCGTAATAAGCATTTAGGAACGTCATTGCATTGATAAATACAACACTAAATAACAAAAATCAGAGAGAAAATGTAGGGTCAATGGTATTAGACTGGCTGAGGAAAATATTTAAGGAAGTTCCCAGTGATGTTTTTGATGGGTCGGATAAATTTAATTATCATGTTAATTCCCAGAGATGAGGCACATATAAGAAGCGACTTCTGAGAGGCTTTTAGCTAGGGGTATAAGAATAAATCGAATCAACATCCGAACGAAAGGGATGAGGCACATATAAGAAGCGACTTCTGGCAGGCTTTTAGCTAGGGGTATAAGAATAAATCGAATCAACATCCGAATGAAAGGGATCCAGAGGCTGTGCAGGTATGAGATTGTAAGTTGATGATGACTTAAAGGATTTGATATGTACTACCTATACTAAAAAGATGTATATGTTTTTGGTAGCCCATAACTTAAGAATTTCATAGTTAAACGTGCTTGACTTTGAGCAATTCAGGTATAGGTGACCTCTTGGGAGAAAGTGTGTGAGTGAGGACAAAACACACTAAAAAGTCTTATGTTGGATTGTGACATTGATCCTGCAAGTAGCTGGGCGTTACAAGTAGTACTAGAGTAAGGCCTCTCTCCTAGTACGGTGTGGTTCGAGAACGAACCAAGCGGAAGCTGGTGAGCATGTAACATCCCAAGGGCTGAGAAAGCTGAGAGCGATCGCCGGTGCAAAAGGAGAAGAAGTACGGACAAGGAGCGGCTCTTGACAGACTTCTTGCTAGGGGTACATGAATAAATCGAATCAGTATCCGAACAAGAGGGATCCAGAGGTTGTGCAGATATGAGACTGTATAATTGATGATGACTTAAAGGATTTGATATGTACTACCTATATTAACAAGATGCATACACTTTTTGGTAGCCCATAACTTAAGAACCCCATAGTTAAGCATGCTTTATTTGGAGCAATTCTAGGATGGGTGACCTCCTGGGAAGTTTCCCAGGAAGTTTGTTAGTGGGGAGAAAGCACGTTGAAAAGTCTTGTGTTGGTTTATGGGGATAGTCATTGATCCAAGAAGTAGTCCGGTGGAGTCAGGAAGGGGAACCGTGACCAAAATGCCACTGTCCACCAAATTTTTTACCCAAATGCCACGCGAACATTGTTATTTTCCAGTATGCCACGCGGACAAGTTCGCTACATTGTCCAGCGAACTTTGTTTGCTGATGTGGCACGTTCTGGTGAAAAACAAGTTCACTACTCCCAATAGCGAACTACGTTGTCAAATGTTAGTCTGCTCTGAACAAAAGTAGGACAGATGTCAATCACGTAGAAGTTCGCTAGAGTACATAGCGAACTATGTGCAACTGTAAAAGAAATAGGCGTTTAAATTATAACAAGTTCGCTTCTCAATTTAGCGAACTTTGGGTGAAGTGTAGCTTCCTTTTTCAAGTACCGGGTCTGACACCAAGGAGAAAAATAAGAGAACACGTTTTGTAAACCATACTCAACCTTCCTTTTACTTTCACCTCAACCTTCTATTTACTTTCACGTCATACTCAATCTTTTGGATAAAATAACAACCTTCCTTTCCTTGTAAAGTTGTTATTATTAATAATTTGTTTTATATTTAGGGATGCACCCAAATCAGCTGAACTTATAATAACAAAATTGAGGTTGGTAACAGCTTTAATGGATGTGCCATGTATCATTCTCATATTTTTAATTGCATTTCTTGTTTCTGTTTCTTTGGCTATTCAAATGGGTTCAGTAAGTGAACTTCAATTATTGTAAAAGTCAGTGAAGCACAAGTTCGCTGGATCGAGAAGCGAACTTGTTATAATT